CAGAGGTTTCCTGTATCATAAAATGCCGTAAACCCAGCAATTAGCTCTGATTCATTCATTTATTCATTGAAGACCCCTGCCTGAGCTTTCCATCCCCCATCCCCATCTCCCCTTGTTCCCGCAGGGCTCCGGGTGGCCGTGACCCTGCTGGAGTCCGGGGGGGACCTCCAGCCCCCCGGGGGGTCCCTGCGCCTCCTGTGCCGAGGGTCCGGCGTCAATTTCGGCAGTTTTGGAATGTTGATCCGTCAGAGCCCCGGGCAGGGGCTGGAATACATCGCGAGTATCAGCTACAATGGTGGCAGCACCTACTACGCGCCGTCATTCAAGGGCCGGGTGACGATCTCCAGGGACAACGGGCAGAGCTTGGTGACGCTGACCATGAACAGCCTCACGGACGAGGATTCCGGATCCTATTTCTGCGCCAGGCGTTTCACCAGCGGCTGGTACATTAACACTGCTCCTGGCGGCGCCGGTTCCGGTGGCGATGCCGTGCCCCAAAGCCCAAACGCTGCGTCCCCAGCAGGGGCAGGAGGGGGATGGGGAGACCCCCGGGGGTCCCTGCAGCTCCGCGTGGGATTTTAGGGGTTTTGACCGGAGCTGGGTACGCCAGAGCCCCGGGAAGGCGCTGGGATGGATCCAAGGGTGGGGTCACTGGGACCGTTCCATTGGGGACTGAAGGAACACAGTGAAGATTTGGGTCCAAAAGCCGGGATTTGGGGGAAGGATCGCTGGGGATTGCAGATATTCGGTGACAATCATGGGGGGTGGGGCCACGGCCAGCCTTGTCCCCAATAAGAGCAGCACCACCACCACCGTAACTACCAGCAGAACGTTTGGCGCAGAAATAGGATCCGGAATCCTCGTCCGTGAGGCTGTTCATGGTCAGCGTCACCGAGCTCTGCCCGTTGTCCCTGGAGATCGTCACCCGGCCCTTGACTGATGGTGCATAGTCGGTGCTGCCACCATTGTAGCTGATACTCGCGATGTATTCCAGCCCCTGCCCGGCTCTCTGGCCCATCCAGCCCATCCCAAAACTGCCAAAACTGAAGCCAGACCCTCGGCAGAGGAGGCGCAGGGACCCCCTGTGGGGGCTGGAGGTCCCCCCCGGACTCCAGCAGGGTCACGGCTGCCCACAGCGGGAAAAAGGGGAGATGGGGATGAGAC